ATTTCGAATAACGTAGGAAGTAGTCTAAGTCTTGGAACTTTTTCTCGGCTACTAATGTCGCTGTCTATGGACAATAAGTGACGTCATCTGAGTTATTTATGATATGCTATTTTGTATGGATATGTTTATAATGAAGTTGACGATGTTTAAAGCATATTTATTTAAGGTCTGTTAAGATAAAAATGTGTTGAAATGTAAAGAGATATATAATGCATATGTTTAAACGAACACAAAAATGAACATAAAGATTATCTGAACTTAAGAACAATACCCGTACGACACATCAAAATAATGGGGCGGTGTTGCATGCCTCTGTAATTGTTATGCTGATAATTTCACATCATATTATACATGTATATAATTTTCATTTTCCTCGATAAATGTTACTCACGTAAGTGCGTTACGCAAACTACGCACCGGGTTAGGCTCTCGTGTTTTCAGCAAAAAAGTGAAAGAAAAAACAACAACAACAAAAAAAAAAAAAACATGTATTAAATACATGTTGTTTTCATGGATCTATTAAAGATGTTTAAAAGGTGATTGCTCCATATATGAATATTTAATTCCTTTACTCTGACTCCAGTTTATAGACTTATTCGTCACCGTTTTCCGGTATGTTACGGGTTTACCTCTAAACCAAATAAAGTATATACCACTATATATTTACTTTTTTATCATTATTTCGCCGTTTAAGTTGAAAAAAAACTTGTCATGATTGAAAGTTATCAATATTTTTATTAAAATTGAATTCTTTAAATTGAAATTCAATGAAATTAAAACAGTCGTAGTGGCATCTTCAATAATAAATAACGAGAAAACGTGATTAAACTTATTCATTTTACTTTATTTTTGTAAGGAAATATTCCTAAAATGATATTAAATTATTTTCCTGCATAGTAGTATCTGTTAATTCAATAACTACCAAAAACGAAGATTTTGTTATTACACTCCATTAGCGGAATTTCCAACAGGAATGTAAAGAAAGTACCGGAAAACGGCGTTAAGCTATGTTAAAAAAATTAAGTTGGCGATACTGAAAAAAGACGTGGAATAGTCTAAGTATGTGCTACCGACTCATTTCCGTCGGTTTTCATGTTTGTATTATCCGTAGTTTTCTTTAGGTTGCTAGGCTGCTAGGCTGCTAACTTCAAATTTCGAAGCGTCAGAATGAAAAAGATATGTTACGATAAAGTTCAACATCTTAAAAAATAAAGATCACGATATTGAAAAGGCGTGGAATGATCTAAAGAAGTGCTGCTAATGTATTTCCGACGGTTTTCATGTTTGTACTATTCTTAGTTTTATTTAGGCTGCCAGGCTGCTAGGCTGCTAGGCTGCTCAAATTTCGAAGAGTAAAATAAAAAAAAAGCAAAGTTCAATATTTAAAAAAATTAAGTTGGCGATACTGAAAAAAGACGTGGAATAGTCTAAGTATGTGCTACCGACTCATTTCCGTCGGTTTTCATGTTTGTATTATCCGTAGTTTTCTTTAGGCTGCCAGGCTGCCAGGCTGCTAGGCTGCTAGGCTGCTAGGCTGCTAGGCTGCCAGGTTGTTAGGCTGATAGCTTCACAAATTTCGAAGAGTAAAGAAAAAAAGCAAAGTTCAATATTTAAAAAAGATAAGTTGGCGATACTGAAAAAAGACGTGGAATAGTCTAAGTATGTGCTACCGACTCATTTCCGTCGGTTTTCATGTTTGAATTATCCGTACTTTTCTTTAGGCTGTTAGGCTGCCAGGCTGCTAGGCTGCTAGGCTGCTAGGCTGCCAGGCTGCTAGGCTGCCAACTTCAAATTTCGAAGCGTCAGAATGAAAAAAATATGTTACGATAAAGTTCAACATCTTAAAAAATATATATCACGATATTGAAAAAGGCGTGGAATGATCTAAAGAAGTGCTGCTAATGTATTTCCGACGGTTTTCATGTTTGTACTATTCTTAGTTTTATTTAGGCTGCCAGGCAGCCTAGGCTGCTAGGCTGCTCAAATTTCGAAGAGGAAAAAAAAAAAAAAAGCAAAGTTCAATATTTAAAAAAATTAAGTTCGCGATACTGAAAAAAGACGTGGAATAGTCTAAGTATGTGCTACCGACTCATTTCCGTCGGTTTTCATGTTTGTATTATCCGTAGTTTTCTTTAGGCTGTTAGGCTGCCAGGCTGCTAGGCTGCTAGGCTGCCAGGCTGCTAGGCTGCTAGGCTGCTAGGCTGCTAGGCTGCTAACTTCAAATTTCGAAGCGTCAGAATGAAAAAAATATGTTACGATAAAGTTCAACATCTTAAAAAATAAAGATCACGATATTGAAAAAGGCGTGGAATGATCTAAAGAAGTGCTGCTATTATATTTCCGACGGTTTTCATGTTTGTACTATTCTTAGTTTTCTTAAGGCTGCTAGGCTGCTAGGCTGCCAGGCTGCTAGGCTGCAAGGCTGCCAGGCTGCTAGGCTGCCAGGCTGATAGCTTCACAAATTTCGAAGAGTAAAGAAAAAAGCAAAGTTCAATATTTAAAAAAAATAAGTTGGCGATACTGAAAAAAGACGTGGAATATTCTAAGTATGTGCTACCAACTCATTTCCGTCGGTTTTCATGTTTGAATTATCCGTAGTTTTCTTTAGGCTATTAGGCTGCCAGGCTGCTAGGCTGCTAGGCTGCCAGGCTGCTAGGCTGCTAACTTCAAATTTCGAAGCGTCAGAATGAAAAAAATATGTTACGATAAAGTTCAACATCTTAAAAAATAAAGATCACGATATTGAAAAGGCGTGGAATGATCTAAAGAAGTGCTGCTAATGTATTTCCGACGGTTTTCATGTTTGTACTATTCTTAGTTTTATTTAGGCTGCCAGGCTGCCAGGCTGCTAGGCTGTTAGGCTGCTCAAATTTCGAAGAGTAAAATAAAAAAAAAAAGCAAAGTTCAATATTTAAAAAAATTAAGTTGGCGATACTGAAAAAAGACGTGGAATAGTCTAAGTATGTGCTACCGACTCATTTCCGTCGGTTTTCATGTTTGTATTATCCGTAGTTTTCTTTAGGCTGCCAGGCTGCTAGGCTGCCAGGCTGCTAGGCTGCTAGGCTGCTAGGCTGCCAGGCTGCTAGGTTGCCAGGCTGCTAGGCTGCCAGGTTGTTAGGCTGATAGCTTCACAAATTTCGAAGAGTAAAGAAAAAAAGCAAAGTTCAATATTTAAAAAAGATAAGTTGGCGATACTGAAAAAAGACGTTGAATAGTCTAAGTATGTGCTACCGACTCTTTTCGTCGGTTTTCATGTTTGAATTATCCGTACTTTTCTTTAGGCTGTTAGGCTGCCAGGCTGCTAGGCTGCTAGGCTGCCAGGCTGCTAGGCTGCTAACTTCAAATTTCGAAGCGTCAGAATGAAAAAAATATGTTACGATAAAGTTCAACATCTTAAAAAATAAAGATCACGATATTGAAAAAGGCGTGGAATGATCTAAAGAAGTGCTGCTAATGTATTTCCGACGGTTTTCATGTTTGTACTATTCTTAGTTTTATTTAGGCTGCCAGGCAGCCTAGGCTGCTAGGCTGCTCAAATTTCGAAGAGGAAATTAAAAAAAAAAGCAAAGTTCAATATTTAAAAAAATAAAGTTCGCGATACTGAAAAAAGACGTGGAATAGTCTAAGTATGTGCTACCGACTCATTTCCGTCGGTTTTCATGTTTGTATTATCCGTAGTTTTCTTTAGGCTGCTAGGCTGCCAGGCTGCTAGGCTGCTAGGCTGCTAACTTCAAATTTCGAAGCGTCAGAATGAAAAAAATATGTTACGATAAAGTTCAACATCTTAAAAAATAAAGATCACGATATTGAAAAAGGCGTGGAATGATCTAAAGAAGTGCTACTAATGTATTTCAGACGGTTTTCATGTATGTACTATTCTTAGTTTTCTTTAGGCTGCTAGGCTGCTAGGCTGCTAGGCTGCCAGGCTGCTAGGCTGCTAGGCTGCCAACTTCAGGCTGCCAGGCTGCTAGGCTGCTAGGCTGCCAACTTCAGGCTGCTAAGCTGCTAGGCTGCTAGGCTGCCAACTTCACGAACATATTTGCTAAACGTAATTTTACAGATATCACTTTTCATAGTTTTTTCTTGACCTGTTTTGAAAATGGAAGTATTTGAACCCGTACCACGGTGAATTTCAGTCTGGACAAAATTAAGGGCAATTTTCATTTTGACAGAATAGCGAACAGTGCAGTCCATGATCAGACCTCAAGGTAATGCCGACTGGGGCTTGTCTTGGTCTGCACTGGTCACTTGGATGTCGCTTGCAGCCTAAGGAGCACTTCGATTTAACGACAATTGACGGGCCTACCCCATTGGTCGCAAATGTAAACATATAGTCACTGATTGACCTGCATATAAGCATAATTTGACTAGACTATGTTTGTCCCGTTACCTCCATAATTCAAAACAGTTCTTTTATGCTAAAAATTCGTCAAAAAGCCATTGTACTTCTCCTGAATATAAAATACATGTACTAGACCAAGTCCGTGAAGCAATAGAAATGAGGTACATGTTAAATGCTATTTCGCCCTAGAGTGCCACAAATGGCCATCTAGAATGTCAAATAAGCTCGATCTAGAATGTCTCATATATGTCGATCTTAAATGTCACATAGATGTCGATGTATAGAATGTCACATTATTATATCGATATAGAATGTCATAAGATCACGATCTAGAATGTCACTTATATCGATCTAGAATGTCACAGATGTCGATCTAGAATGTCAAAAGATGTCGATCTAGAATGTCACAGATGTCGATCTAGAATATCACAGATGTCGATCTAGAATGTCACAGATGTCGATCTAGAATATCACAGATGTCGATCTAGAATGTCACAGAGTCAAAAGATCTCGATTTAGAATGTCACAGATGTCGAACTTAATTGTCACATAACGTTGACTGTGTTAGTTCTTGCATGGGTATTTGTTGAACAATTCTAAAAATAGAAATAGAATATGATTTGATACAACAAACCGTTAATTCATTTCTTCTACTTAGCAGATACCTCCGGTAAGAGAACTACAGTGGAAAAGATAGTCGATCTATTGTTGAAGAGACGTCTTGAAGAAGACAGGTCTATCATCCTAAATCTAAACAAACAATCGAAGGTAACAATAGTAATATCAATAAATACTTTTATGTCTCAAATTATGTAAATACATTTCAGTAACTAAAAACATGAATCATCATCTTGATCATCATCATCATCAGTATTCATCATCGTCATTCATCATTATGCATCACCATAATTCATCACCTTCGTCTTTATTCATCATCGTCATCATCACCATTATTTATCATCAACTTCGTCGTGTATCATTATTCATTGACATTATTCATCATTCTCGTCTTGAAAAGAGCAATGTTTTCGTGCTTTATTTATTAAATTGTTCGCCCCTTAGAACGATATTGATTTTTGGTTTCATTGCGCGTGGATTTCATTGCGCATGTCCATTAGGATACAGCATTTTATCACTCTTGAAACAAATTTATATATATTTCCTAATGTTGAATCTAAGTTCACAATTATGTTTATGTTGCCCGTAGAATAAATGTTCTTTTTGTTGTTGTTTGTTTATTGTTGTTTGTTTGTTTGTGTTTTTTATTCTTTCCCTTACATGTCCTCCAACGACTTTTTTCTTTACTGAATGAATTGTCCAAAACCAATTGCAATGGTATGTACGTAATTGATATGTAAATACTTACTACTTATTAACATTGTTATGAATATTCCATTCAAATGACGACATTTCTTGATTGTCTGTACATTTGTCTGTGCGCTCTATTTTTAGATTTCTGAGATGAAGCTGTTTATCATACACCAACAAAGTTGTATACAACAACTGCAAGAACAAAACAAGGAGCTGAGGGCGATTATAGAGGGACTGATGGGACCTGATGATGTAGAAGTAATAAAGAATTTCAAATATTTGAAAACTATGATTTAGTTAATTTAGAGTTTGGGAAGCTATTTATAGACACAGTATCGTATCTGTTTCGGGAACCAACCAGTTCTTACATAGCAATGAGTGTAATATTTCTTCCTCAAGGATTGAAACATCAGCATCCATCTTTTATAAATGATGTTTCTATATGATACAATAGTTTAGTTCAATATCTAAAACATGTATATATAGTTTAATATTAATATTAATTTAATACTTCAATATTTTAAACATGTCCCAGTGTCTATTCTGGGGGATTCACTCATATTTAATAATTTTGAGACCCCCCTCCCCTATTTTTAGAGGCAAGGGGAAATTTTACATAGAGAAAGAATAAAAAAGTATTAAATTCTCACTTTTCGATACCTAGAACAGACACTGTTGTTCTAAATTCTGAGAGGAAATGTCGATCTTTAACGTAAGTAAAACTGATTTTTCTAGAAAGCTGCAATGATTTTAAAGTACATGCACAATACTGGACATAATTTAAGTTTGAAGGAAGTCTCGATCTATCAATAACTTAATTGTCTGCTCCAGGAAGAGAATCCATGTGATTCTGACCAATCAGGAACACCTGCAAGCGTCACCAGCCAAGACCAGTGTCTGTTACGTCAGACGCTTGGAAAACAAAACAGTCCATCTCTTAGCCTCGTTTCCGATGTTCTATATTGTGATAGGGGAGAGTACTTGCCTGGAAACAGTACGGATGGTGACGTAGCCACGGTACAAGCATACGGTATAGGTGCGTTTCGCAGCATAAATATTCATTTCACTAATTATCTTAAGAGTTGTTTAAAAAGGGAAACTTTTAAAATACATGTATATCGCAATATGAAAACATATGTTGCCTATTGTTTTTACATTTTCAATGAACATCAAACAGTTGTCAGGGTGCCTTTAAATATATCCGTTCTCCTTTGTTTTTCGGTAATTGACATTTAAGTAGTCATCAAATTTGTGACAAAGACCAGCATGTATTATGTGCACGTTTTGTGGTTATCGATGCTGTGTCGTTTGGAAATAAATACATTTTGTCCCAGACGACACGAATAATCGAATGGATGTTTTCATCTTTACAGGACGGGATTGCTATGAGGTCAGCTCTGGTGAGGATATTGTATTTGACCCACTGTCTGTCAGTTACGTGCGTGACCAGTGCCAGCAAGCCGAAGAAACCGAGAGACAAGCGCATCTAGTAAGTCTAATTGGGGGAAAATGTTTTAAAATAAATGGCTTGATGTTAACCAAAGAGCAAAATGTGAAGTGGTTGCATACTTGGTTCAAGCGGGAAAAATCGTTTGCAAACTTTACAAAATGGCTATCGAGTCATATCAGAAGCTAGGAAGCTGAGAACTAAAACTGAGCGTGCCATAACCATTTCCTTAAGGAATTGGCATATTAACATACACACTCACTTACCTGAAGTAAATACGTGCAAGTGTTGTAAATATTCATGATTCGGTAGCCATTTTGTCAAGTTTGCAACGATCTTCTTCGCTTGAACGAAGTGTGCAACCACCATTAAAAACAAATACTGAGTATTAAGAATAGAAAGTTTTCCGTAATAAAACTATTACTGTAAGTAGCAGGTTGTGTATTGGTCTAAGTAAAATAATCGGATATTCACATGTATATATTGCACTCAACAGAGAGTAAAATTACCTATTCAATTCAATTCAAACTTATATTGCAATTAAGTATATACTTATAGCAAATTAAAATGAAAGAAAAATACATATACTAGTAAACGAAGCATAGTACAAAGAAGTTAAAGCTTGTTTGATGTTTTCTGACCAAGATGAATATACATGTATGTATAATTTCTGCTATTGTGTGCTTTAAATGTACCAATCATAAACATCGGAATCTTTATTCGTTTGTTTTACAACGCTTAAAACTTATTCAAGTTATAGATCTATAAGATATTTATTACTATATTGCCAAGCCTTGCAAGGTGTACGAACTCCATGACTTTGAATTTATTTTCAATGTAAAATTTTGACAACATTTCAAGTGACATCGTGCTCTTTTTTTTTTCGATGTCAAGTTGAATTGAATTAGTAATACATTTCAAAATATTGGCTATTATAATGGTAAGTGACCATTTATTGACAATGAAAAATGATAATATTTATTATATCTACCTGATTGAATAAAAAAACTAAAAAGATTGTCCCACTCTTTTAAGAATTAAGCGTTAACTATAAGTTTATTTATAGAAATTTCCGTTAGTCAGATGAATAATTGATTATTCTTTTCATTGTAAAATATAAAATTGAACACAATTATGACCAAAAAAATCAAATTATTTATATTTATACCTGGTCACTGACCATTTACACTTGGATGGATCATAAAACCACTTAAAGATGATTGTCATGGTTTTTAAAAAAAGTATTTTATTCTTCTGCCCCTTAACTGTAGACAGTACCAAAGGAGGATATCAAAGGGACGGTTATTGACAATTTGGAAAGTCCTGAAAAAGAAAAGGCCCAGGAAGAAACTGATGATGACAGCAATAAAGATTTTGGTGGCATAAAACCAGATACAGAACAGTGTCAGGAAACTTGTGAAGGTATTGTTATTATACGTTATTAAATTTTCTGACAGAATCAGTGTTGTAGAAAAATTATGATTATTATAACACCGATTGTGACTTCCTTAGTAACGGAAACCATCTTTGCGCATGCGTATTGCAATATCAAGAGAAGCATCGTATATTTTGGACTTCTTCATCTTTAAATCTGGACAAAACTATTGAACATTTTTAGGTGTTTTTTTTTTTCAAATAAAGTACTAGATGAATAGTGTATTGTGCAGACCATGATCAAACGGCGCACTGGCACGGATGTATCGGCTGGTCCGGGTTGCTTTGGTCGCTTGAGTATAACGAGTTGCCACAAGGGTATTGCAGACTGATTATCGTAAGGCTTAAGGCTTAAAAAATAAAATGCGTTTTATTTTTATATAGTTGTAATGATAAAGGCATTTTAGTGTGTGTTCTATTTCTATTTATAGAAACACCGGAAGAATCTGTGGAAATTCGAGCAAGTGAACGCAATGCAGCAGGCGACGGCGCTGACGTCACAACTGAGAAGGTTGTTTCCCCAAGGAAAGATGAGCCTGCGACAGAAAATAAAGAGGAAATTGCGTAGAGTTATAAAATGGACGATGAACTATTGAATTAACAATAAAAATCGTGTTGTTGTTTAAAACAGTGCTATGTTATGTTTAAATTTATTCAGGGAAGTTTTGTCTTTTTAATGACATGTTTTTTCTCTCTTTCGATTGTGATTGAAAGCTTGTTAAAGTTTGTGTTCGATATAATACTTTGTTATTAATTTAAAATATTTATTGTTAAAACTGATATCATTTATATTTAATTTATGTCCTTTATTATTATTATCTTGCGATGTATCAAAATGCCCCTGGTGACTGTGATAGGGACTCTGATGATTTTTAACAAAAAAGTACTGAAAGTATTTTCGTCCATCAAACCTGTCTATGAATCGCACGTACATGTAGTATTTTCATGTTTTAAGTGCCCAAGTAAAAATTTCAAATTCTATAGGTGTTTAGACTTTTTGTACTTCAAACCATTTGCCCCCTCGCCGCAAAGATGTAGATAACATGTTATCTATGTCCCTGGTTGGTGCAAGGTAAACCCCAGCCGAAAAAAACCTTTTACTTGTAAAAATGGAGAAAAACGGGTTGTATTTTATTTCCGATTCGACTAGAATTTCGAGAGTCATCGCCCATTACATGTATATCTATTTGATAACGTTAGAGTTATATTTTACTATGCATTATTTATATTACAATTCTATTTTCTCATCTCATATTTATATCGTACATTCAACGTACATTTTAAATAGAACTTGGAATCTGTAAAACTGTCCAACCTTACTTTTTTGCCAGTTAACGTTTCAAGTTTCATGTACAATTGTGTAGAAAAAACGGTGACTATGGAAGTCACTTGATATAAGAGAGGAAAAAAGATTCATAGACTGAAGTCAGGTAGTGTTATAACTTTCATCCCCCTAACCCCTAAACCTCCAGACAAGAACTGACGGCGGAAGGATATAAATGTATAGAATTAGCTGTTCGCCTGTTGGGAGCTTCAGAAATCGGTTACGGTTTCGAACTTTAAAGGGACTCCACTGAGGTTTTTTGGCATGACGGGACTGGGGATAATATTTTGAGATAAATGGTCCATGTGATGAAGGTCTAGATCATTAACTTGTGGGCAAAATTTTAGATCATTCGCTCACTCTGTTTTTCCAGAATGACTACATGTATTCTAAATGTGGAAATTAGCCCAAATCGAAACGCGTTGCAACGCTTATCACTTAAATCGGGCTAAAATAGCACACAAATACGACTTTCAACTTGGTTTTGGGTATATTTCTTCATTATCATTTGCACATCTTTCTGTTAGTGTTCATACTGATATTTGTAAGAAATTCAAATTTAATATTTTAGGCTTTTAGACCTTAGTTGGGTTCCTTTAAAAATACAATGCTATGAAGAATGGAGAAATACGTACGGGCTGCTTTTTCTTTCCGATTCAACCAGAATTAGGTCTTCCGTCTTTACATAATAAGAAATAGATTATACATATTCAAAGAGAGCTTCACATACGGGAAGGGGTGGGGGACTTTTTTTCAAATAATCAATTCTTTGAAAGTACCGCGGCCTATTTCTTCATATTAAGCATACCAAGGTAACCGCACAAATGATCGTTTCACCAACGACATGCACATAAAATCTTAAGATTGCATGTACTTATTTTCACAGTTTAAAAAATCAAGGGACCTATTTCTGCTGCTTGTATCTGCTTTTTACATTTTTTATGTTTTTCCAGAGACATAGATAACCAGGATCTTGCTATCTATGTCTCTGGTTTTTCTACAATTCATCTATAAAAGACAACGAGTAAGTTTTCATGGTATTAATATGTAATCGGATATAAAAGCAGGTTCAGCCACAAGATTCATGATTATTTTCATCACGGATTTATATTACACGATCCGCCATATTTAGTTCTTTCCCCCTTTATCCGATATGCGATTCCGCGCATGCGCGCAACACGATTTTAAGCTAAACGAGTGTTCGATCCCTGTAAATCCGTGTTTTCATGAATATTTTTAAAATAACTTACAGAAGTAATCAATTTTAAATTGAGATAATTTTATCTAGCAAAATGTATTTTTATCCTCATAATTACATCAAAAATATGCAAATGTATTTATAATACAATGTATATTCATAAAATATTTTATCAAATAATCAATCATTATAATGTATAATCATAATATAATTAATTATTATTAATCAATCAATATATTTGCATATTCTTATGTCATTCGTGTGGAAAGAAAATAATATAAATAAATAAATGCATTTATTTATTTTATTTTATTTTTTAGTTTTGTCATTATTATCATTATCATTTTTACTTTTTATTGTGTTGGCTCAACTTGTATATACCAATAAATCGTACTAGTAATCAGGCCTATACTTTCAATACACATGCTGAAAAGGGGCGTGTCTAATGTGTTATCTGATCTCATCGGTAACGCCTTATTATCAACAATCATATTTACATATGCAAATTTATGCAAATGAGAAAATCATCGTCTGTTTAGTCTTTTTTTGAAAGGCTTACTGATAGGAATTACCAATACTTTTTATTAGATTTTGCATTTCATTTATAAAAAAAATAACAATAGTTTTCTTAAAAGGATATATTTTTCGCAATGGGGCTAATGCTAATGATACAACAACAACAACAGTAACATCTTCATCATCAACATTATCATCATCAAATAACATGAACAAAATAGAAGTGATACCTTCAGCATTATAAAATAACTTGCAAATGTCCAGCACAAGAATACAAAATGAATGTTGAAAGTTGAGCTATTTAGTATTCTTGAAGATAAATTATATTTATTATATAGAGGATATTTGTTTAGTTCAGTGTAAGATCGGAATATATTTCACCGAGTGAGCACCAAAAGGTATATTTCACGAGTGGCGCAGCCACGAGTGAAATATGAACTTTTGGTGTTCACAAGGTGAAATATATTTCGATCTTACACTAAACTAAACAAATTTTCTTTTTATTACATGCAAAGAAACGTTTTAAAAAGACATTAAGCCCAATATTGAATGAAAAGCGCGCCAAATTATAATACAACGTGACGTCATTTACGACGTCACGTCATTAAGTTGGTACCCGTTCTGTGCACGCTAGTATTTCACTGAAACAACGTGAGGGGCTTAAATTCAAAACAGTGAAATTATCAAAGTGGTAATTTTACTGTTTCAAACAGTGAAATTACCAGTTTTTATATCACTGATATATTTCTATAAACCACCGAAAAGCATGTAATAAAATGTAATAATTGTATTATGCATAAAAATGAAAGAAAGAAAGAAAGAATGAATGAATGAATGAATGAATGAATGAATGAATGAATGAATGAATGAAGAGAATGAATAAATAAATGAATGAATGAAAACAAATTATAACTACGAAAAATTTCGTATCGCAGAAACACTAATACATGCACGTCGTATACATTTAGTAGCTTTCTTACCATATAATTTATGTCAGCTTAAAAAAGTATGTCAGTTTAAAAAGAAAGAAAGAAAAAGAAAGAAAGAAAAAGAAAGAAAGAAAGAAAAGTGAGATGTTACCTTAATATGTTAGAAAATGAGCGATTACATGTATGTATAAATAAAAAAAATAAATAATTAAATAAATAAATAAATAAAATGAATACAATAAAAATGAATGAAATTAATTAATTAATTAAACAACTAATTAATTACTGAATAAAATAAAAATAAATAGATAAATAAATAGCATGGTTGAATCACCCATCACATGCATAATTTATTTGTCATATTTATAAATCAATTTTCTATTTTATTTTTTTATATCATTTTTCTTATGTGGTAAACATATGAACATCAGTTTAATGTTGTTTTTTTTGTTTGTTTTTTTTTAGATATTAATCGTATTAAACTATTTTTGACACGTATATGTCAAGAGCGAGTTTGAATCTCATTACAGTTTCTCTCTCTTAACAGCGGCATCTTTTACGAACAGAAGCTTTCTCCTGGTATTATTTGGCATAACTTCACCATGTGTCGTCCAGTTGCAGAGTCCGAAGCGGTCGTAATCAGATACAGAATTTCCGGGGTTCCAATATTCCCTACATATTATCGTAGGTGCACATGGTACCGCATACGTTTACCGAGCCGCAAAATAAACACTAGATTACGTAATACACCACGTGCTTCCCGCTGCTTTTTCACGCCTGCCATGGTTAATCGTGTTTGTTTAAGATGACGACTAGACATCTAATAACACTATTTGTTGTTTTTTTATTGCCTTTTTTTTCGTCCAAAAATTATGTATTTAAATTTACACCCCTTTTGTATTTTTTCTCATCAAGTAGATTTGGGTTCATATTTTCGAAATTATTTCAGTCCCGAAAAACGACAAACTTACCAATGTCTACATTTTTACTAAATGCAACATTTTTTTTTTCGATGAAAATGAATGTAAATTGGAAAAATATAGGTTCTAAACATACGCATTACTTGATGAATTCGATCTTAATCAAAGGTACTTTTATGTGGCATAGCAAAAATAATAAAAAAAAATAAATAACAGCTAATTAGCTTATCATATTCAGAAAACTGGCGAAATATTTTAATGTACGTATTCGAGTTGCATAAAATTTCATGCGCTATTTCAGGCACAATACATTTGCATCCCTGGAATGTCATATGGCATACTTAATACGTTTGCTTCAGTGAAACCGAAATGATGAAGTAGTTCTAAATATTAGCGTAGTTGAGTTAATCTAATTTTGAATGATGCCTTTAAGTTTTTTTATCATTATATAAATCAGAACTATTTTGAAGTCCATTCGAGAGGATGTGCTTTTTATTTTTGGTATCTTGTTACACAGTTCCAAATAATACTAATTTGCCTGTCTTTTGCTCCTTTAGCTATGTTGGCAATTGCTATAATTAAAGTGAATAAGTATTTAGTATGGACCTCAAAAATACTACTTTGTTTACATTTCGCAATACCTTTACAAAACACTTATGCACATTATTCAAATAACTCAAAACATTATCAAACATCTGTTCAAGACATTTATAAAGAATTACAAATATGGATTTCTGAGTCTTCGTGTGCCCTTTGAAAAAAAAACAACAGACACAGCATTTCCAATAGATCATTGCTGGATCCTTAATCCCGAATTTAAAAATTAGCGAAAGCTTCAGTAAACAACTTTATGATGAATATATTATAAGATAATCAACAAAAATAAAACAACATTTTGTTCATTAAATGTTCGTATACACAGATTTTGGGGCCGTTGTTGAAACAGTAACACAATCTCGTGTTTGTGATAATGTTGTTAATCAAGTAAATGTTTCCACGGTTAAGGCAGTTGATTTATTCCATGTTATACTTCATATGAAATAGATGATGCATTTAATAAATATCAGATAAAGCAATTACTGTTCTATGAGCACGCGCGCGTCTTTAAATCTTCTCCGAGACGGTGCACGCGTGCGAAATGTTACTCTATTAAAATCATATGATAGATCTTCGAAAGCAAAGGTTGCTGAAGAAATACAATACAAAAACACGCTAAGATGTAATAACAAAATGAAGTAAATAAATATTTAAGATAATATATACAAAATCCCTCGTCTATTTTTGAAGCTGCGGAATATGTAGTTAAAAAAAGAACAGAACAGAACAGAATATGAGGAACAGGACAGAATATGCTTGTTCTTATAACAAAAAAAATATAATATTATAATATTTTGATAACATGAGAACGAATTAATAATTCAAAGGCATATCATTCCTCAGAAACAAACCAATTTTTTATCCTTCTTTCTTTAAATGACATTCACGTACTTGATAGACTGTCTGATATTATGGGAGACACCTGGGCATATATTATAAATATGCGAGACCAACTGCATCATGATTCGAATTGAAAAATAATTTAGAAAATTTAAGAAATAATAATAATGCATGTGTATTTGTTAGAATATTTGTAAATAAGAATTGAATAAATGATATCTAAAATTAAAAAGGAGCGTTTGTCAAAAAAAAGTTTTAGGACAAAATACTAAGTATAGTTGTTATTGTTTTATGATGATTTTGTGTTTGTATTTCCATATATTGTTAACTATAGGCCACTTTTAAAATTAAGACATGTTATTAGCTTTCCACGATTGTATATCTTCATATGATACCGTCTTTAAATAACAACTATTTAATTTGTTAATTATGACATGGTTCTATTACAAGCATAATTTGATTGTTTTAACAAAACGCTTCTTTTCGATATTAAAATAACATGCATACAAGTTTCTTTTACATGTGCATAAGAGGAAGAAGGGCATATAAAGTAAATATTCCTACATGTGCCTGATTTTACGACCTACATGTATATCTACGTGCTCGGTTGCTTTATGAGCCATTTACCTGCACGTGTTTTATCTGTCAGGACTTACCGAAGAAGTCGTCCACGTGGGCTACCAGTGTCGTATGTAAACAAACAATCCGTAATGCCGTATGTAAACAAACAATCCAAAAAATAAATACAAATAACGGTGACAGGCAAATATCACTATTCATATAAGGACATATTTGTGTTAAAGAACATGTAACATATATGTATATATGTGACAAAGGTAAACATAACGGGCCGGATGGTGACAAAATGTCCTCTTCGTGTGTTTTTGGTAACGTAAGTAACGTAAGTGACCATCAAAATTATTTAGAAGTTCAAGCATCTGTAGTTTTTAGTTTTAAGGTGCTTACAATAAACTCTGTCCACCTTTCTAAAGCAATAAATATGTTTTAATTAAATTTAATTAACTATTTAGTTTAATCTTAAGACTCGAATTCCCAAACGCGATTTTAAGATAAAGCGAAAACTTCTGTTCTTTGAAAAGGTAACGGATGAAGAAATGACCACTTTTGCAAATGTTCGGAATAATTAGAGAAATCGCCATTATGAATTACTTATTCAGTACATTAAAAAAATAATGCACGGGAACAATCTTTGCGTTTAACACGTGCATCAGAATATCATAATTCTCTGGAAATCCTTCCCGCTGATAACGTAAATGAGATCAAACCAGGTTCTCAAATAGATTTTCTGTAAACCAGCAATAGGTTTAAGTGACGCCTAATAAATGTGTTACGGCATACGAGCACCAAGATGTTACGTAATCTAGCTCTCCGATCAGCTATTAAACATTTAAAAGAACAGTTTCAAATGATAATTAAATATAGATCAACAGTTTTACAACATTTTAAAAGATTTTCCTACGATTTTCGTACGGATATGCTGTTGCTACTCGATTAAACTGTTTGAGAGGAAAAAAATTATTCGTTAAGAATCAAGTGTGATTTATGAAATTAGATTTTAACACCATGCAAATCCCGCTAGATAATTACTTTTCTCGTAAATCTAAAGAAGTTTTTTTTTAGTTTATTTTTTTAATGATACAGACTGGGATAAACAACTGGTTTCATGAAATGCAGTTTTAATTAATTTTAACTATATTTTAATGCCGAAGTTGTTGACTGGTTATATAAAACGTAATTTAATCAAACGGATTCAAACCGAATTAAAATAAAAAAAAACTTGCATCGTACTTTCACAATATTTATCATTTACAATCGTCATCAACACCTTCACGGCACCGTCATCATGTCATCATCATCATTATCATCACCATCATTATCATCTTTTCAACAAGCAACAGACGAAAAAGATGCCGGTGATTGATCAATGAGTATCTTTTTGGATACTATTAAAGTAAACCAAAGTTGAAAATATTTTGAAGAAATCATTTCTGAGGCATTATGGGCCTTTAACCATTTTGCCTGCCGGAAAGTGATAGTAAGGAGTGCAATCTGGTCTGGATTGACGGACTTGAAATTGCCATATCCACAATATTCATGGCCAAAAATTAATAATAAAAGGTAGCTGGAAAAGGTCCATCCAAGAACTTCAGCATGTTACGAGATAAAACAATGAAAAGGGCAACCAATACAAGAGATTTATTCAAAATCTCGCATGTCATGCAATTGGCGATATTTTAACTGGCCCAAACAGGACACCATATAAAACGTTTTTTTCTTTCTTTCTGCATTAGAGATATTTGGATTTGAGGGTGACTAAACCGTAACCAAACTTTTGCCAAGACATATAATACCTCAACTTCTTCTTTATATCTGGAACATAATTCTCTTAATTTCATTTTGATAGAAACGACATATCAACAGCGGATTCTCGCATATTTCTTCACATAATAAAATGCGACCTTTTGAAGTATTCCGACGACCCGACAGAAATTAAAACAGCGGGCGATTCTGGAAGAATTTCACAAACCCGTTTCTGTGCATTTCACCGCAGGCTACGAACAAACTGATATTCATTTCACGCTGGGGATAAGATATAAAATCTTATGTTTTATTTACTTCTGAAGGGAGCCTCTTGACTGGTAAATTAGATATTGGAAGAACTGTATTAACTTTTTTTATTTCTGGGAGGCGGAGATTATAGAAGTTTATCAAAAAATACTAATAGCATGCGTTTCTCGTGCTTAAAAATGTAACGTAACGCATAACCATGAAATTTTCGTGCGAAATTAGAAGAAAATTCTCCTTAGTTAAGCATTTAGGTGTATTATTATTAACTCAATTTTTATAAAGAATAAAACAGTAAGAGTTAGACAGATATTGTAATATGTTTTGTTTAAATCTAAATGAAATTATCTATACCTTTATCAAATGTGAGCAAGGGAATCAGAAAATAAAAGAACCTCCAATGCATTCAATGAACAAACACTTCCGCGTTATTTTTACTTTCCTTGTCTATTTTTTATATATTATGGAGCTTAATATAATTATATTGAAAGTAAATCTGTGAATATATGAAGCTGGGAGCAAACAAATTAACCCCTAGTACATTAAAAAAAAGACGACTGAAAATGAATATCTACCAAATTAAAATCACCATCATCAACAACATCATTATCATCATCAACAACAACACGAACAAAACCAACACCAACATCACCAGTAACCGGAAAAAAACGTCATCATCAAAATCATCATCATCAACAACAGGAAGAAGAAAAAAGAAGGCGAAAACAAATTTGAGAATAAAAGATTGAGTCTTTTAATATTTCCAAAAAAATAGCCCAATGACCCATTCCTCTAAATATAGTTACAAACAACGACCACAAAAAGGCAGCGAAACAAAAATAATTATATACCTTTCTATCATGATTCCACTTAAATTATATAATTATAAAAGATCACTTTTATTCGGCCATAAAAATTTGAACCAATTTTCTGGTAGGTACAAACTACGATGTATCACATATTTTCCATGGTTATTCGACGACATGAAAGTATCCCCCCTAAATGCTCTTTAATCTCTGCACCTATCGAGAGTTTTATTACTTTAATCCTTAAACAGCACTCTTGTAAAGCACACTTTCTAATAAATACAAGTGAACCCAAAATTCAGAGCCCTTTAGGAGGACTAAACTGCCATAAAACCTTATTAATTTCATTATTTTGCAGGATCAAAAACATATGATACCGTCGCTAACTAGGGAAGCATTTTTCCCCGTTTTATGGAAAATAACTTCAAATTGGCTCCAAGATTCTACGGAAGGCATAAACAGGCGGATCTTGAAAATGAAGTAATATATTTTTGCTGGGTGAAAATAATAAAGTTCATAAAAGTTCCGTTCGATATAAAAAAGGGAATATAGAACTATTTCAGCATGTAAACACATAGGTGTCAAGTGAAAGATAAGTGGGTATGTTTGACAGATTACTGTCTCGGCGGATGCTGCAGATGCATTTTGAGATTTCCGGCCGGTTTGTGACAGTCGCGATCTACCTGTAGGAACTATCGTCTGCTACTTGGAGGCGGGGCTTATCGTCTGACTACAACCTCCAGCGTTCTAACCACATGGCGCTAAACTTGTATAAATCGTCTGCATAATATGGAGTTAATTCAATTTGCATGTTGATTTTCACGTTGATTAGTTGAACCACGGCTGATTATACGCATTCGGTTTCTGAAGTAAAATTGACAGTTAGTTATCAAATAATTGTGGATTTATTCCAGTAATAAGCTAATAGGATCTATCGGCATTGAACGTAAATTTTAATTTGAAACGTTCCGTGGAAGTTATCGATAACACTGTAATAGAAACGACGTGAACTTTGCAATAGAATTATAAAAATTTGTTTGAATTATTATTTGTGAATAAAGGACTTGAACTTAATTATAAAAAAAAACTGGAGATGTCCACTGACTTTATTAAAGCGGAGCGTGCAATGTTTGATTCTTACGGCGGTTTGCGACTTCCGCTCGACGCTATGAAAACAAGAGATGACCTATGCTCGGATAGAACTCTTTCTGACCAGGGTGCGTACAACCACCATTCCATTGATGACATCCTTGGATATAGAAGAATGCAAGAAAACATGAAAGGTTTGTTCCGTCTTTTATACTTTTATAGCAGTGTTTTTTATCCAGAGTCAATGATTATCCCACCCAACCACCCCCTTCGTCAAGGTATTGACTTGTCTCTTAAAATCGGTGTCATGCTTCGAACCTGTGTGATATAAGTTTATTATATTATCACAATATTATACTACGGACAAATAGTCAGTGAAAGATATAAATTTGTATATCACTGCCGTAGTTTTGACATTCTTAGTCTCAGATGGCAAAATTTTATATTAGCAATTGGTCAAACGGTGTAGATCATTGTAAATGCATTTCTGCTTCATTAATTCTAACTAATAATGTACTTTGTTTAAAGTATATTAATCGAAAAAGTTCGATGGACAAAATGCTATAAAAAGTGAGAAATAACGCAAAGGTTATATAATGAATTAATGAGAATAAAGACTTCCAGTATTAACATAACGTCCTCGCGCTTGTCATGCAAGTGTTTCTTAAATAATATCGTTAATAATATCTTGTTTTTATGCCGCCTATTAATTAAGATTCGAGTGTTGATATAAGTGAATAAAATAAATGCAATGAAAATATGTTAGAACTGATCAAAGCACGGATTGTCTCATATATATACACTAATATACTAATTTTTACAAGTATTGTAGACTCCCATACAAATGATGATTTTGTAAGGCCGAGAGGTTGTTTGATAAATATGTTATTTTATTTCATTAAGACGATATAACGTGCAAACTGTACATTAAGTTTTCCCGCCAAAACTGGCCAATTGAAGTCGAGGTAGATATTTCATATTTAAGGGACTACTGAAAGATTTTTATTTTATTTTGGCATTTTAAAAACAAATTTATGCATTTAAAAAAACAAAGTTTAAAGCCGGGAACGGGGAAGGTTCATCGGTAAATCGCTTACCGATATAAGTAAGATAGCCAATAGCCTTCAAGACAGTCTTTGGGTAACTCAAAACGAATTTAATAACATTTTATAAACGCTCTACGCATTAATTTCCAAGTTATTGTTACAAACATATGAAAACAAATTTCAAAATCTACATACGAAAATAAACCTTTCGGTAGATATTCACAAAAATATTCCAGCGCATAACATACTTTTTGAAATCAACAACAGCAACAACAACAACAACAAAACAAACATTCAAAAAATAGAATACATTAATGAAGAACAGTTGAAACATTTTTAGCTACCACAGCGAGCATAGGGCGTTTAACATGTTTTAGGGAAGCCATAAATATGTTTATTGCCGGGTTTTCCAAAATCACCAGGTCGCCATGTTCTCCTCCTATATTAATCGAGGTATTCCGGTGCTTTTCGTTTTATTTTAACGTTGTATTTTTCACTCGTTGTTATTAAATTTCTATGATACATTTATCAAAATGCTTGTTTGTTCCTTTTGTAGTAGACTGACACAATCATGTATTTTCTGCTCTAAGAATTAACACAAGACCAAATAATTAACAAAAGACCTAAGAATTAAAACGAGACCTAAGAATTTACAAAAGACCTAAGAATTAAAACGAGACCTAAGAATTTACACGTGACCTAATGTCTCTAGCACATGCAAAATACTATGAAATATCCATAGCAGTGCAACTATGCTATTTTCCTATTCTTAAATCATATCCTGAGCGTCTCTGTTATTTAATGTGCATTGATAACATAAGAAAAGAGAATAAAACGTTCCCTAACAAAATATTCAAATACTAATATAGTATGTCTTGCAATGCTTACAATCATATGTCAACAGATCCTTTAGAAATCTGCAAAGTTGGTTATCTTTCTACTAATAATTAGACGGCTAATTAAATTTGAGAAAGATAATTTTATATAGAATTTTCAAGTTATATGAATGACCAGATTTTGAAAACCGATTCTTGAACTGGGTTTTTGTGTGGTAGGCTATTGTTGCCCTAAAATATTACATATTCGAATGTGCATACCTTTTCTTCTTTCCCCCCTATATTCCATATAAAAATAATTAGTTATGCATCCTGTATCAGACCATTATTATAATGACATTCTTGATAGAACGACTCGATTTTCATCCCATTCTCAAAATGCCGATCTTGTCTTAATCGATTTACAAAAACATCTTGTCTTGCTTGATTAGTAGAAATTATTACTTATTAGCTATTGTTTATAGCATACATCGTCGTAGCTCTTTTGCCCTCCGAAGATAATGGCCAGTAATTGAAAGAAAATCATGTTTGCATCCAGACAAGAGCCTCGCTAAATTGATATTTGTGTTATACCGATTATACTATAAATAAGCTGTTGTCATTAGAACACGAAATAGCATGCAATAAGCAACTTATTAACCGGCTGGGTAGGTGTTTATGGGGGTATATTATACCATCGATCTTTTAAAAGGTTGTATGAAGAAAACTCTTTTATTACTGTTTTAACCCTTACAACGCTACCTATCATTAATGTACTTGTCCGTCTGTCAATCTGGACTGAACCATTCATAATTGTAGGGGATTTCAAAAAAAAAAAGAGAACTGAATGAACAGCGAACAGTGCAGACCATGGTCTACGGCACGGGACTTGATTTGCACTGGCCCCATAAGGATTTTCAGCTGCCTTCAGCTTTCTAAAAGAAAACACATTTTATTTGAGGAATATACTATAGTTTTATATCATTCGCGTGCTATGAATGTCATCAGTTAGAATAGCGTCCGAAACTAAAATTACATCATGGTAAGTATGAACCAAGCTTACTATAGGAAGGAAGAGAACATGATAAAATACATCAGTTGTGAATTCAAATATCATTACAGGCATACCACTTGTTGTTTGCAATGCTTCATTTCGAACCTTTTCAGGACTATCTAACCCCCCTGATTGGAATATTGATGCAAAGAAGATGCCAAAGAGCTTCCCTTGAGAGACATTGTTTTAAATTATTTTATTTTATTATTATTTTAATAATCTAGCTACACGAGAAGAATTTTACTTTCTAGTAAGTTTACTTTCTATTGGCCAGGGTCTCATATATCTTTAACACTGTTATAGTGACGACAAAATTCATGTATAAGATCTGAAAAAAGTGAAACTTTGTGAAGCATAAATAAGCACACAAACATATTAAGAAATTGCAACGCTTATACAGAACAAAGTTTGTATGAACATAGATATTTTAAGTTGTTTTCTCGTTATTTAAGACTATCCTTTGTGAACGAAGAAGAAAAATCTTCAAGTTTGATTTAGGTCGACGTGTATCTACTTTCGTTTGGTCTCTGAAACACTTAAAATCATGGGCGCCGACGTAAGAGCGGCACTTCTATAGATGTTCAAAAAATGGAATACAACAAACAAAAAATGATTGAGGCGGTTATAAAAATTCTTGAACATTTTCGATTACTTTATGTATAATGTATGCAGTGTAACCATAACCTTTGGCTTCATTTATCAAAAAGCCAATCTTTTAAAGTATCCAATGACATTTCTACCACGTACTTGTTCTCAATTCCTTCTCAAGTCCTCAAGAATTCATTTAGATATTCCATTACGTTGGTTTTTATGGGTATTATGAAGATCTGTTTCTAAGGAGTATATTTTTACAGTGTGCTAACTTGAAGACATATGCTATAAGATATTTCTAAAACGTTTGGTCGAAGTGTAATAATGATTGAGAATTTACGTCCCTTTTTGGAGCATGCGCACTCAAGCATCTGCTATTATGATTGGACGACGCTCAATATATTTATTTTGAAACTGATCAATGAAAATATTGATACTTTAGTAGTCTTGCATCTTGTGTTTGCGCACTCTTGTACCCGAGGTTCTGATTGGTCGATTTACATTTATATAAAATTGACAAAAATATTGTTATTTTAACAGTCTTGACTTTTAATTATGAATATCCTTCTCGAGTATCGGATATTCTAATTGGACGATTTCTGATACATTTATTTTTAGCTGACCAATTAAATTTTAATTTGTAAATAGTATTGACGCTTGAGTATAAAATGTCCTTGTTGACGTGGCGCATTCAAGCATCCAAGGGATACTCAATAGGTTCGTCTGAAAAGAAAAATGACCTAAAGATAATATTAAGTTAAAAATTCAGAAAACGTTTCTTTTATTTCAATGGAACAATTTTCAATTTATACACATAATTTATTATTTTTTGCTCCCACTTGAAGAATTTTCTGAAGAGAATTTAGTAAAAACGTATTTAGACAAAAAAGATACGATAAAAATCTTACAGAAGTCTTTGGTTAAGAAAAATTACAACAACAAATTTAATATAACGTTAGGTTGGATAGATTCGTGATTCCAGTCATTCTTTGTACGACTAAATTTCTTATAGAAGCATACACTTCAGAAGAAAATAAGATATAATTTGTCGCAGTGAGATCGTTATTAATGTGATAAGCAAAAGGAAAATTAATAAAACAGAGACTTTAATAATTTTAATCACAATACAGTAAAACATTAATAATTATTTAGAAAAGATATGAAAATTTCGCCTTTAACCTAATCTCGTAATATAATCTTATCTGATAAAAGAACCTTATCCATCATCATCTTCTTTTTTCTTTTTCTTCACCATTAACATCATCACCATCATATCATCATCATATCATCATCATCATCAATTATTATTTTTTTCCATTCTGAAAGGAATGAAGCACTTTGTCAAATATGTGAATTCAACAGGGATATTGACGATGAATACCATTTTGCGTTAATACGTAGTAAAAATGAAAATGACATGAGAAAACAAAACATTCCAAAATATTTTTGACAAAAATGTGAACATTTTGTAAATTGTCAAACTAAAAGGAAATTATTCCATGCATTATAACTTCAATAAGTATTCATGCAATGTATAGTTTAAACAATTTATTGCTCATTCTCTACTTGTATAATTTTATTGTGAATTTTGAAGTACAATGCGTAGTTTTTTCACAACGGACACTTTTAAAACTTGTATTTTATATAAATATTCATATATTGACGTTTGTAAAAACATGTTTGTTCAAAGAGGAGCATAAGTTTAGTTCCTTACAGTTAATAAATATGTTCAGTTCTGTTATTAAACATAATATACTAAACTACTAATAGTATAATATCCGGAAAATTTGCACACGGATGTGTAAAAATACAAGCTCAAATATTATATAAAAAATTAATTCGCCTTGAAAAAAAATGGTTAAATTAAACTTTATATTTTAATTTGTATCGATGGTTTAATTTACGAATATGAACAATCTTTTTATGTATTTATATATTGTAAATTCGTTCGTTTTATTTATACGTGGGTTATTTTTTTAAGTTATAAATGACTAAATGAGATATGTCTTATACTTGTTATAACTTGTATAAATGGGTTTACTTTTATTTGTATAAATGGTTATGGATTTTAAAACTATTGAACATTAGTTATTCATTATCTTATGATGAACGTCGGTGTAGAAGCAAGGTTATTTCTCATGAAACGCAATTACATTGTTATTTGGTTACGCGGCTTTGTCCACTCCTGCGCAACACATGTACACGAAAAAATGCCTCGGTAACGAAAACTTGACCTGACCGTTCGTTAATTAAGTCAATTAACTATTTTCTACTGTTATTTGTTTAATCAACATCAGTAGAAACGTCTTCTGTGCCAAGCTGTGATTTTTGGCAAACCAACAACAACTTTCTGTATGTATTTCAAGCCTAACCGTAGGATATCCAATCGTCCTGGGCCGCACTTTATTCCCTTGTCCGTATAGTAGACTTTATTTGAAAAGCCTCACTTTGGTATTGTTAAAATTGACCCAGCCGCTTCTTAATTAATCGGAACGTGTGCAAATGGATCTCGAAACACTAGAACACCAAAAACCCGAGTGCTAAATGTAAATTCGCCGTCGAACACATTTCTTGGATTCTAGAGTCAGTGCATGCTCCAGTCTGTTTCAACGAACGCTCGATTATTCTTGACGGATTACTTAAAATGCTAATTTGTGAATTTTCTTGTCTTGACGTTTGGTTGTTGTGGGGGCCTTGATTTGAAAAATGACTTTAGTAATTCGTCTGCCAGTGTGGCGACGGTAAATAGATCGTGTGTGTTATTGTTAATATGTGATCATATGTTTAAATGTAATAACCGGCAATCAGACTATATCTTAAAAATTCGATGAAAAGATAAGTCGAGGGAGAAAGTTGCCGTCTGCTTATAATTACGTCATGAGCGTTGTATGTAATGCGAGTAAAGAGTATAATTCTTTTACAGAAATTACTGAAATGAAAGCTAAAGGAATGCAGAATGATGTCACGCAGTCACCGACAAAAATTGACAGTCTTGAAGCGGAGATTCTCCGCGAGCGGGACTCAGCTGTGCGGGAATCTAAAAGTCAAAAAGCAGACGACAAATCGAAATCTTCAGCCGATTCTCCAAACGTTTCAAGTGATCGTCTTTCCATCGGAGATGATTGTAAAAGGGATGACAATGAGGATAGCAATGAAGAAAGTGATGCAAAAAAGAAAAAGAGAAGAAACAGGACAACCTTTACTAGTTTTCAGTTAGAAGAAATGGAAAGAGTGTTCCAAAAGACGCATTACCCGGATGTTTACGCACGTGAGCAGCTCGCGCTCAGATGTAACCTGACAGAAGCTCGAGTCCAGGTAAGAACATTAGCTATTTCATATCGTTTTAAATATCACCAAATCAGCTTTTTAATTAATATAATCTTATACAGACACGTTGAATTATTTTTTGTAGCATCTGACCTTAATTGAAGGAATGGCATAAAACATTTTTCTTACAATTGTTACAAATGCTAATACATGTAATTCAACATTTTGTGATGGAACGAAAAGCGACTGATGAACGCAATAATAGCACTATTTTGTTGGCCGTATAGAAATAAGGAAACATACAAGAAATAAAACAAAAATAATTCTCAAGCATTTAGAAAATTAAACAGTACACAAAAATAAATTTCATAATCATACAATATGCAATAATCTTATGACCATTGACTCTCATGTTATGCAGAACGATATAAATTTGTAATACTTTATAAAAAAAATATTTATTCGCCATATCTTAATATTACACATATTATAATATGTTTATTATAATAAATTTGCGTAATTTTATTGCTTCATATACTAGCATCGGTCTTCAGCAAACAATTTTTTTGAACAAAATCAATACGAAAAAAAATAATTGTATATATTTAAATAGAGTAAAAGATCCGTCTTATGTTTTAATACGAAATGAGATTAATGACGTAATGCATATTGACCTTAGCACGACTCTAATTATAATAATGTTAAAGATTTATTAACTTGGCCTGGTCGCCATTTTAAAGGACATTCCCAATATTTTATATGTTGAAGATAAGATAGAATTCTATGGTCTTATTTTAACTTTTTAAGAACTTCTTAAATATAGGCGGTAAAATAATGGTTTACTTCACATATGTAAAGGAATTCGACAATTTACCTAAATCATCATTCTGTCTTTGCTTATTTTTTAATATTTTGTAAATCACTGGAATATATATTGAATAATGACCCCCATCCCCACTCATCCCCAACCAACGAAATGGCTGCCACTTTCTTTAAGAGAGCTAGATATTACAAAAAATTAAATATGTAAATATACATGCATATAACTATAAACCATATTTATGTTAATAACTTGACACTGTCTTATGTAACACTTTTCGGTGGAAAAATGCCTAAAAGCTTAATCGGTTCCATTATATAATCTACTTACATATAATAAGCACTAATAACAATTAATTACATTGAACTCTTGTGAAGTTTATATGCTTTGTTTTTATGCTCTCGTTAATGCACGAGTTTCACGAGCCATTAAAAGATGATTTTCAAAACCAACCACTAAAAAGGGAAACAGTCCGCAAATGTTTTAATGGCGAATATCAACTCAAACTTCTGTTTGAATCTGTCATCTCTTTAAGCTACATATGCTTTCTTAAAAAAATAATTGAATAATCCGGTACAAACATTCTAAGTATTTATATCATCGCATATGATTTAACGTCGTTATTATATTTTTTACGTTTGTTTTATTTTCGTTTTATTGTATACTAAAGAAGAACGCATCAGTTTTTCAAGTAGTGCTTGAGGTAGAATTTCATACCGACGCTGTGTTTTGCCAGTGTTTCTTTTATCTTTTGTAATTAATCTGAATTATTAATTGACTTAAGGCAATTGTGCACTTTTCATAATAACAATTAATTATAATTGATACATTTTTATTTATATACACGAGTGACTATTAAAATATGTCCTACTTATTATGACGTGTACATGAATGCAACTTGTATATGTATATATGTTATTAGAAATAAAGATTTTTTTGACAGGTTATATGGCCCAATATAAACGGTTGTTTAGAGATATGACCCGAGCCGCCAGGTTAGTGTTATATTGAAAACAACTGTTTATATAACCTGTCAGGAATCTTTATAATGAATTTATAATACAGAAACTTCCCTTTTTAGAGTAAAAATGCAATCTTCATAAATTGACAGCAACCGTATATTTTAAAACTATATAAACGTTACGGTTGTACAATGAAAAGTGAAGTTGCAAACGAGCAGTACTATAATATTAGTTGTAAATATTTGAAAGGTCATATGACCCAGTTTAAACTGATATATTAATAAGCTTATATGACCAGAGCAGTCACGAGATGGTTATATACCAAACATCGTTTATATATACAGCTATATAACCTATAAATAGCATTAATACCTAATTTACAATTATGTGCAGTTACTTTATTTGTTTAGAATTGAAAATTTAAACAAAAATCGTCATTTTGCTCAATGATATTAACGTAATAGATGTCCAATTAGAATCGTTGTTACAAACGTGCACCTTATTATAAATCACATATTGACCAATAAATATCGGTCTCAAGATTAATAGGATTAATGAGTAAAGCAGGTAAAGTTCGATTAGTTGTAAACAACTACTTTTTAGGAATATTGTTGAAAATTGAACTTCATTATTTACATTTCTCATTATTCTGTCAATGATAGTCACCCACATGTAGGTTGATAAAAAACAACAAAACAACACCTTATGAAATTGATGATCTACTTATATCACACATGTTCACTAATTTGACTTTTTAAATAATTAAATATATGACCTGTTTGTTTTGCTAAGCGCCATTCAGTGTCTTTAATAGAAATAAATATTGAGTTATGGCCCCTTAAATGTTTACCAATTTCGACAAGGGAAGTAAATCTCGTAACATCAGAATTTATACACAGAAGCCGTAATAAGAAAACAAATTATAAATCATTTAAAATGATATAAAATGTGCAGATATAAATCAGTATAAAACATATAAAATAAATGAAAGTCTACATCATCTAGATTACGTCAGCAATCTTGAAATCAGTTACATGCAATGAAATAAGATTTACAAAACATATAGGAGACAGGAACTGTTATCAAAAATCTATACCATACCGTTCCCGCATCATCATTTCCCGAGTATTTCGGAGAAGTCGGGTCACTGCAAAACTTCAAATGTACACAAGTGCCTTTCAAAACTCCAGTCATGCGTAAGAATCACACATTCATGATATTCACTAAGTACAAATCAATCTACTGAATGTATTGCACGGAAGGAACCCGAAAAAAGTTCAACGGAAAAATATTACAAACTGAAATAAAATCATGAAATTCAGTCTTAAGGTCTCCACTGAGTCTACGTTATATATCAGATCTTATGCATTTTGACAATTTACAACTTTAATAATTCCCCGCCACGAATAATGTTTTTTATGAAGTAGGGAGAAGTTAGTTTTCAAAGACGTTGGATAATACCCGGGGCCAGTTATTAAGCAATTAATATATATTACGCTATTGCTGTTGCGTTTAAAAGTGAATTAACGAGCTACGAAATATGAATAAGCGTGTTTTATAGTTATTACGTAGAGTGCTACGAAAGCTTAAGCTATCTGTTACATTTTGCCTATGAATCTATAACGTTTTTGAAACCTTTTTATTGCAATTTCTTATTTGAATTTTCCGTTTAAAAGATAGCGAACACCTAAAAAAAGTGTTACTAATTAGATTAAAGGAATAGGTGATAAGAAGTGGTGGCCTTGTTAAGATGATATCGGGGCAGAAATTCGGTTTTACTGACCATAATTTTACGGAAAGAACTTGTTACTTTAATTTTCTTAAGCACATACGAGTACAAACCATCAGGAAAGAGAAAACAACAACAACAACAACAACAACAGAAAAGCAGAATCTTCATAATTACCAGAACAACAATCTAATAGCTAATCTAGCCTAATCTAGTTCGATTACGAGGCGTTTTTTTCTCATGCGGATTGACCGAAGATTTTATAAATAATAATATTCCGCGTTTCTGCAGTAATTCAATTATTTCAATATGCAAGAATTATTTATCTTTAAGAGAACTTTGATATTTAATAAAGATTACAGGGTTTCTCGGTGATTTTATGGTATATTAAGCGGGAATACGGCATAAAGAGGATGAGATAGACAGAAACTGTCAATAAATTCTTGAGCTATTTAAGCTGTGTTCGAGAATGTTTGTGCACGAATAGTTTTACTATTTAAAAGTACGAATTAGTTTGTTAATGTAATAGGGTATGAGCGCGAATTTGTAAAACAATTTACTTAAAAGCACAACAGCTTTCTGGTACCACGCCGTTTTTTTGTGTGTGAAAATGATGAAAAAAGTTTAAAACCGTAAAAATGATTGTTAAGTGGACAAATTTAGTCTAGCTTTGATGTATAGGCATCTGAAATCCATAGAAAATATTGACAACATGTCGAAATATGCAGATATTACTGTTGACGAAACATTTTTGTCCGGGCTTATTTTAGTTTGGCAAAGTTGCCATTTACCATAGATCAATCATTTTTTTAAAGAACGAAAAGGGACAATCTTATTACATATTAAAATGCGAAAAGAATAAATCTTATTTTAAAATGAGAAATTGAACAGTCATTGTTTTTATTGTCTCAATTAAATTCCAATGAAAGTGAACAAGAATGAATTTTTAAGAATTAAGTGTTTATCAATGAAATGTCAAAATTTAACGCAAAAAGATTTTCTACATTGAAAATGTAATGTGATTTTAAAATAGATATAATTCATATACATGTTTAAGCTAAATTATACTTTCTACAATTAAATGATATTTTTTAATGTTCAAAACAACCGACAGATGGCGCTCGTGGTTCTGATAGTTCTTTTTTCAAAAGAACACTTTCAAACATATTATTTTTCATATTTTTGAAATTTTCCCATACTTTTCTTTAAAAATCTTAGCCCCGACGGTACCAAAGGGGGTTTTTATAGGTCACATGCTGATTTCAGCCTGATTTTTTTGAACGGATCAAATTTTTTTCGCGAAAATTTTAAACCATTTTTCTTCTTTACAATCACATTTTGGCTGCAACGATCAAAAGAAAGTGTTGTAGACCACAAATAGAGTTTTACGTCTTCATAAGTAGAAATTGTCTCCTTGTTTAATATATTTAAAACACTTTCCTTTATGTTTAAATTGAAATCTATGTTTTATGCGGCGATAAAACACGGGTACCATGCTGAGACGTAATGGTTTTATGTACACAACGGTAACTTAGCA